GCCCTCGCGGGCGGCCAGCGCGGTCCCTGAGCGCCTCCTCCTCCTCCTCCTTGACAGGGACACGCTGGGGGCAGTTTGGAGCGCACTGTCAAGGCTACGAAGGGAGGGGGCCCAGGCTGACATTCGTCCGGTAAAGTTTCGCTCAGGGAACGCTCCGCCTCCTGAATTTGCTATTAAAGTTTAAAGAATCAAGAATCCGGCCAGAGAAAGGGTGAGCGCCACTTGCCTGAGCGCCTCCTCCTCCTCCTCCTTGACAGGGACACGCTGGGGGCAGTTTGGAGCGCACTGTCAAGGCTACGAAGGGAGGGGGCCCAGGCTGACATTCGTCCGGTAAAGTTTCGCTCAGGGAACGCTCCGCCTCCTGAATTTGCTATTAAAGTTTAAAGAATCAAGAATCCGGCCAGAGAAAGGGTGAGCGCCACTTGCTGAGCTACAGAGGTTTCTTTAAGAACGACCTCAGACATCAGGTGCAAACGTGGGCCTAAACCCTACAACCACAGTAGCTCCTGTAAATAAATAAGGAGAGGATGGGGCTGCTTGAAGTACTGTGCCCAGGAGAGGTCATTTTGCCCACAATCCCGCTGGAAATCACTTCTTGAAGTTGCTGTTTGTCCCAAAGTGTTTCCTTGCACTTTCTTTTGTTTCCCTTTTTAACCTCCCTGGCGCCAAGGTTTCAATGTAGGCCTATTTGTTGCGGAAGTGACACGCCAGATCTTAAGCACAATCATTAGAAAATAATGCTGATGCCATGGGCACTATGGCAATAAGGCTGAGCATCTTTGGAAATGGCTGTAATATATATCTGAGCTGGTTTTAAAACTTGCATTTTAATTTGATTGATTTTTATTCTGTCTAAACGCCACTTTTAGTTCATTGTTTATTCTTACTCAGTTTTAGCCTGAAGGTAAAGGATAGTTATACTGCAGCACGGCAACAAAGCCCCACCTCTAACACTCAGGGTTGATTTCCTTCAGAATGTTTTATGTTGAGCTTCAGACCATTTTTGTGCTCTCCTCTTTCACCCTCATTAAGAGATTCCTTAATTCCTTCTTACTTTCTGCCATCAGAGTGGTATCATCTGCATATTTAAGTTTGTTGATATTTCTTCTGGCAATCTTGATTCCGGCTTGGCATTCCTCCAGTCCTGACTTTCGCATGATGTATTCTGCATATAAGTTAAATAAGCAGGGAGACAATATACAGTCTTGTCAT